TTCTTTCTTTCTTTCTTTCTTTCTTTCTTTCTTTCTTTCTTTCTTTCCATTCATCCATTGAGACAGTGTCTCAGAACTCAAGCCAATCCTCCTGCCCCAGTCTCCCAAGTACTGGGTTTACAGGTAGGAACCACCACCACACCTGCTCTCTGTGAAGCTTTAAGAGACCTTTCGCCTTGGAGATGGGGTGGCTGTGATGAGCTCATGGCTAAACAGAGAGAAACAGGGTCCTGGGGAAGGATGCTGATGCAGCTTGGAGGCACGAGAAACAACTTGGACCCTTTACTTCTCCATCTGTGAAATGCAGACATAGTGTTCATTGCAAAGGAGCCTCAGATAGACAGGACCCCAGTACAGCAGAAAAGCATTTGGCAGTCCTGTCTTCATCTCCCCATTTAACAGACAGGCGGACTGGGGTCCAGGGAAGGGGCATGCACAGGTTCACGGCCGCAGTGGCAGCCCCGGATAAGATCCAGACCTTGCAGCTTCCCAGCCTTAGTTCCTTCCCTTCTGCCACTGTGATGGTCATTTCTCAGGCCTTCTGGCCTTGGCCGGGGGCCCTGGCTTGTCTCCCAAGAAGAATTAAAGGAAGGGAAAGACTCAGCCCCATCCCAGCCCTCAGGCCCCACTGACAGCTGCACTGCTTCCCAGAAGAACAGATGTGGTGCACGTTGCTTCCCTCTGGCTTGAGGAGGAGGTTGGAAGATGCCAGCTGACTGGGCAGCCTCCCCTGAGGGATTTAAACAGCCACCGCCTGCTCTGGGCCTTGACTTAGGGGAGGCATCTAGGGAGGGAACAGAGGGCTTATCGTCCCAGAGGGCCACGGTCCAGGCACTTTACCTGTTTGGCCTCAGGCTCCATTGCCTAACCAGTGGACTAGAAGGCTGAACAGGGCGGAGCTTCGCAGCAATTCTAATGGCGCCTGGCACCCAACAGGTGTGTAACCCTCACACAGATGTACAAGCCCCATGGCTCTCGCTATGGGAAAGCTCTTTGTCAGGTGGGAGCCTTTGCTGACACAGGGTCCCACCCCTCACTCCCCTCTCCAGGCCGGAAATCCCCACCTATCATGGCTACAGGCGAGCAGTGCAGCCAGATTGGGGTGGGGCCTGGGGCTCTAGGCTGGCATGGTGCCTGTGTGATTGGGCCTGGGGCTCTAGGCTGGCATGGTGCCTGTGTGATCATGAGAAATGACCTCACCTCTGAGGGCTTAGGATTCCCTGTCCAGTGTGAGAATGGCAATGCCTGCGTGGGCACCCTGTTCAGAGAGCGACCCCCCGGCTTTTGTTGTGCTCATATTTCATTCGGGGTCTTTTCTCGGCTCTTCCTGGTAGCATGGGGGATGGTGGCTTTCCGAGACGGGGTTTCTCTGGGTAGGCTTGGCTGTCCTGGAACTTGCTCTGTAGATTAGCCAGGCCTTGAACTCACAGAGATCAGACAGCCTCTACCTTGCTGGTGCTGGGATTAAAGCCGTGTGCCACGACCTCTCGACTGTGCGTGTGTGTGTGTGTGTTTTATATAGGCTTCCTCCATCCTGCAGGAAGCTCCTTAAGCAGGGGAGGCAGACAACAACAAAATCACTCGAAGGGCGCTGAAAATGACCAGATTCTGTTGGCTCCACCCTGCTAGAGTGAGCAGAGGCAGCCCAGCTGCAAAGCCGCTCAGACAAGAACAGGTTTAGACCAACTGAGGCAGCTGGAAAGGCCTCCAGGTCGAGTCCTTTCCTGAGGCAACTCTCCAGCCTGTTGCGCTGGCTGTGCAGTCGCTTCAGGCTCCCAGAGTTTGGGAGCTGCTACTTGTGCTGGACGGTGTGTGTGTGGGGGTTTCTGGTGGTGCAGCTGTCTCTGAGTCAGTTCTGCTCCTGTAAGTGACCCCCCCCCAGCCACATTCCTGTCAGTAACCCCAACAAAACTCACTGAGTCGTGAAGCTGGACTTTGGTATCTGTTCTCCGGCCTGTTGTGGGCTCCCTGTGTGGGGTGAGCTCTCCCTCCATCTCGTGGGTTCTGGGGATTGGGCTCAGGCTGTCAAGCTTGTCAAGTAACGAGCCATTTCTCTCACCAGCTGACCCTATCCCCAGTTTTTATGGGGTGGTGGGGATTGAACCTAGGCCTTTGGGTGTCCTAGGCAAGCACTCTACCAACTAAGCCACAAACCTAGCCCTACCACTTTGTGTGTGTGCTTACCTGCAGTTTCACAGCAAGCCTGCTGCCCAGGCTCCTACATCCTGTGTTCTCTTAGGCCATGGTCCATGCTACCGGTCTTCAGATCACATGCCAAGCCTCTCAGGAGCGCTTTGTGCTGGGAGTAGTGGAGAAGGAAGGCACTGGGGGCCATGGAAAGAGCTGGTGAACATGGTAGCATCAGCTCTTCAGCAAAGCCTCTCTCCCAAGCAGCGGGAGCAGGAAGAGAGCAGTGGAGAGATGGAGATGGTAGCGGAAGGGGTGCCGGGATCAAGGAGAAGGCAGTATGGCCTTTGGCTCATCGATTCCAAGTCTATAGATACAAAGACATATGCCTAGAGAGGGTGGCTGCCCTGCTCAAGAGCATGGAACAGAAATGACGGTGTCCCATGACAAAGCCGCTTCCACACTCTCAGCATCTCTGAGGCCCAGAGAGGGGCCACAGGGTCAGCCTGTCTCCACAGCGGAAACCACAAACAACGTTGTCTCAGAGCTACCCAGATTAGGGCGAGAGAGGGTCCCTGGGCTAGTTTCAGCCCAACTTCCGGGGAGTTCCAACTCTGATGTTGACAGAGGCCAGAGAGCCTACTTTCACCTCCCAGGCCCCAGCAGAGCGTTGGAAGTCAGGACTCAGCTTTTAGCCCAGCGCCATGCGTGTGGGGGGGGGGGGGGGGGGGGGAATAGTTTGTGGGGACAAGGGGGACCCCCCTGGGTGCGTGCCCAGGGCCGGACAGAAGCGCAGTCCGGCTGCGGACTGCCCCGCCCGTCCGCCCGTCAGCGTGGGGAAGGGGGAAGCGCGGCTTCCTGGCTCCTCGCCCGCGCCCGGCGGCCCCGCCACGTCACCGGGAAGCCCAGGGTGCGCGCGCGGCGGGAGCGCGCGCGGGGAGGCGCGGCACCGGCCTGGGGCACCGCGAGGCTCAGGGACCGGGACGGGGACGTGGCAGCGCCCCGCGCACCACCGAGTTCCCTGGCAGTGCCGAGCGACGCGGCGCGGGATCGGCCGGGCAGGACCATGAACGTGTTCCGGATCCTCGGGGACCTGAGCCACCTCCTGGCCATGATCTTGCTCTTGGTGAAGATCTGGAGGTCCAAGAGCTGCGCGGGTGAGCGGCGCCCGGGCGGGGCGGGACGGGACCGGGGTGGGGTCTCGGGCTCAGAGGGAACCGCGCGCGCTTCCAGAAACTTGAGCAAAGTTCTTTGACATCAGAGGATCCCGGAGCGTGTGCGGGAGCGTGTCTTCCGCCTCCACGAAAGAGCCCTACCTCGCCCCCTCACCCCATTCTTAATCCCCCAAACTGGCTGCTGGGCCGGGACTGCGAGGACCTTTCCCCTCCCTAGGAGAGAAGAATGTTTGGAAAGGAAGCCGCCTTAATCTTGAGGTCTTTTCCTCCATTCTCTCCTGCCTTTCGCTCCCCCAGGGAGAGCTTTCCTTCTCCTTCACGCTAGTGACACCAGCCTGGCCCAGGGATGTGGAGCTGGTCCTGAATGGGAGCCATTGGAGGGGCTCCCTGTTTGGCTAGAGGTTTGGCTGCCCTGCTGGAGTTGCAGGGAGTTTCGAGGCTGGATCGATGATTGGAGCGCCCCCCCCCCCCATGAAAAGCCATCTTTGTCCCTAGTGTTCCCTGCTTGTGCTAGGTGTACAGATGGGGTCTGTAGGGTCTGAGCCCAGACTCCACCAGAGCGGAGGAGGCAGGGAGCGGCTGAGGGCTACGTGGAAGTTGCAGCTCTGCCTGTGGGAGAGAACGGTTAGGGTGTGTGCCCAAGGAAGAGGGTACAGTGTGGAGACACCAGTGCAAATAGAAGCACGTACGTAGAAGCCACGGGGTATAGGGCAGGTCCTGGGAAGGACACCAGAGAGCCAGGAATCCAGAAGGTAAGATGGACCAATGGGGAAGGCTTTTCCTGTTCCACTAGGAATCCAGGATAAGGAAGCCATGGAAGACGTAGGTGCAGAGAAGGAGGCTCAGCAGGTCTCTTGAGAATCAGGAGGTGGAGGCTGAGAGCTTTGGAGAAGATGTCACTGGGAAGGCTGGATAGGAGAGGGATGGGGCTGAGTTTGGATCCGGCACATTCAGTGGCTCTGGACTGGACTAGAAGTTAACAGGGTGTGTAGTCTTCTGAGAGATTTTCCTTCACAGCCCTTCAGTGTCTGGCTCCGGGCACCTGGCGGGGGGAGGAGAGCAAGATGGGAGGGGTGCTGTCACCTCCCTCCCTCTCTTCTGGGCACTGTCCTCTGAAACCCCACTGCTCTGCCTCGGGGAAGCCGGCCTGCTAAGAGGCCAGCAGGAGCAAATCAGTAGGTGTGTGGCCTCCTAAACTTAGTAGGTGCTGTGGAGGAAAGAAAAATGGCAGCTGCTGCCATCCCCAAATGCCAGAGACACTGGGCACTGGGTGCTGTGTTATGTAGCCTGGGGCCTCTGTTTTCCCATCAGGCAGAGGGACGGGAGGCTGCCCTGGCTGGTGGGCCTCTTGGAGGCTCCTCAGGCTCACACTCACTGCCTCACCTCTTCTGCTAGGCTCCAGGCAAGGATGTCTGTGAAGATCCGTGTTTTTAGGAGGATGTGTGGGGCCCCTGGGGGTGGAAATGAGCCCACCTGCTGAGGAGGGCCTGCAGGAGATAGTGGCCAGGTGTGCCCTATGGAGCTGCTGCCCAGACCGTGGTGACAGGGCAGAAGGCCTCTCTGGCAAGCTCTCCATGAGGGCACAGCCCACCTGGAGCTGGCTCTGTCTGGATTGCCTCATCTGTGTCACCCCTTGCATGAGTTCCTTCACGGACATCTTCATCTCCAAAGCACATTCCCTTGCACTAGGTCTTCCTAGGTCAGGTCCTAGGTCTTCCTCACGTGACTCCTGTCACATGTGGGGGTGAGGGGCATTTACTAGTGAGGAGTGTGTGGTCCAGGCATGCCTGTAGCCAGTATGTGGGTCCAGGGTTCTTCAGAATAGGAGAGACCTTAGGAGTACTCCTTGTTCAAAAAAAAAGTCACCCTGGCCAGATAGTGGTAGCACACTCCTTTAACCACAGTACTCAGGAGGCAGAGGGAGGCAGGGAGGATCTCTGTGAGTTCAAGGCCAGCCTGGCCTGCAGAGCAAGTTCCAGGACAGCCAGGGCTCTTATTATACAGAGAAACCCGTCTCAAGACACAAAACAAAGAGCTTTAAGCAGAATTTTATTTTAGAATAGCTGTTAGGTTTCTGGATGGATGGGGAACAGAAATGGAGGACCACAGGCCAACAATGAAAGCTTTTTGAAAGTCTGGGAGGCACTGTAGCCGGAGCAGGCTATGGCTGACTTTTGGGAACTTTGGGGATTGTCATGAAAAATGGAATCAACGGGTGAATGAACATGCAGGCCAAAAGAGGGCTCAGATCTGGAGAGCCCCTAGCATTCACGTGTGCACGCATGTGAGATGTGTGTGTGTTTGCGTGTCTGCCAGCCACAGGGACGGCTTTGATGGCAGAGATACAAGACAAGGGGCAGCTGGATGATTTGTTGACAAAGGCAGGTAGAGCCGTAGAAGGGGAAGCAGAGGTGTGTGACGCCACCGGGGCCAGGAAAGGGAGGCTAGGGACCAGCAGGCCAGGTCAGCGGCTCTTGAGACCAGGAATGAGGTCGGCCGACCCTGGCTTCAGAGACATGGGCACCATGAAGGGGAGCACTTAGATGGGGTAACAGAGGCTGCTGTGGGTTCGGCAAGGAGGAAAGAAAAGGATGTACCTGGCCCTTGGTTGGAACTACCTCCATGACCACCAGCAGCTGCCAGAGCAGGAAGGGATGACCTGCTATTTCAGGGCCCGCTCGGGAAAAGTGTGCCGCAGGAGCGCTGGTGAGATGGAGTAGAGTCAACAGCTTTGTTGCCCGTTTGGATGTTGACTTATTAGATGGAACCCTGCCTGAGCCTCGCACATGCTAAGGAAGTGTCCTTCTGCTAGGTCACACACCAGTTCTTTGCTTGTTTCTTTGTTCTGAGGCACTGCTCCTTAGCCTAGGCTGGTCTGCCTCTGCAACCCGAGGGAGGGGATCAGGCGCTGCCCAAATGCACAAAAGGCCAGCCCTTGTTCTTGTCTTCTTCTGAGAGCCTTTATGGCCACCAAGTGTGACATGAAACTTAGCAGAAGCCAGATGAGAGTACAAGGGAGCTCTCTGGACTGTTGGACCTCTTTCTCTAAAACGTCCTTAGTGGTTGTGGCGCAAGCCTGACTGCAGCACTCAGGAAGTGGTGGCAGAAAAATTAAGAACTACAGGCCAGCTTTGTCTACACAGAGTTCGAGGACGGCCTGGGCGATGCAAGGGGCTGTCTCAGAATACTAAAGAGTGGGCTGGGGAGATGGCGCCATAGCTTGTAGCTTAAGGTTCTTGCTGTCAAGTTTGAGTGTCTGAATTTGATCCACATGGTGCAAGGGGGGAGCCATCCTGTGAAAGTTGACCTCTGACCACACACACAGCATGTGTACACACACACACACACACACACACACACACACACACACACACACACACACCCTGCACACACATACACACATACACACACACATACATGCTAGGTAAATCAATAAATTTTTATAAAGAATTAAAAAAAAAAACGTTAGAGAGAACCTTTATGTTCATTATGTTTATTTCTTGCATGTGTATGAGTCTATGGATGGGTACCACATGTGTGCCTTGATCATGGTGGTCAGAAGAGGGCACCAGATCTTCCGAAACTGGAGTGACAGGCAGTTGTGCGCCACTATGTGGGTGCTGGGACCTGGCCTGGGTCTTCTTACAAGAGCAGTAAGCGCTCTCAACTGCTGAGCCATCGCTCCAGCTCAAAGTAAACAGATGCTCTTTAAAAAGACAGTCAGACAGGTCCTTGGAGTTGGCACACACCTGCAAGCTCAGCACTGAGGAGGCAGAGGCGGGGAGGGTTGCTGAAAGCTTGAGGCCAGCCTTGTTTGACTAATTCGTTTTGAGGCATTGTTTTACTGTGTGGCGCTGGCCAGCCTTGAACTCAAAAGGCCTGCCGCTGCCTCCTGAATGCTAGAATCAAAGGTATGTGCCGCCATACCCAGCCCGAAGCCAGAGCATTGTTTGTTGTTGTTTTGTATTTTGCTTTTGGTTTTGTATTTTCTGTAGCACAGTCTCTCTGTGTAACAAGCCCTGGCTGCCAGGGGAACTCACTTTGTAGACCAGGCTGGCCTCGAACTCACAGAAATTCACCTGCCTCTTCTTCCTGAGTGCTGGGATGACAGGAGTACGCCACCACACCTGCATAGCAGGGTCCAAGTTAATCAGGGCTACAGCAAGACCCCGTCTTGAAAGAAAGAGAAAAAGAGACAGACAGACAGAAGGAAGGAAGGAGGAAGGGAGGGAAGAAAGGAGGGAAGGAAGATGGAGGAAGGAAGGAACAGTGTGGAGAATAAGACCCTACGGATGCACATTTTTCAGGCACATGCAGTGAGCTGTGGCCAAAAGGTCTGTGCACTCAGGCTTCTTCACTTTTGCACGTACCATTTGGTGTTTATTATTTACTTATGGCAGTGTTGGGGCTGAACCCAGGGCCTCGCACATGCTTGGCAAGGGCTCTGTCACCGAGTTGCACTCATGATTCTTGTATTATAATGAACAAAAATAGATGTAACCTTTGTAAGTAGGAAAAGAGCTTTTAAATTTTAGGCGTTTTGGAAAACAGAGTGCTACTGGCCTGCGCCTTCATCTGCCTGCTTGTCTCCCTAGTGAAACAGCAACTGGAGTCAGCGCCTCATTCTCCCAGGATGGAGCTCTGGGGTTGCCACTGGAGCTCCGGGGGTGGCACACAGAACAGCCTCGACACCCCCACCCAGGCGACTCACACTACCCCCGAATCCTCCACAGAGAAGCACCAAGGTGGCGCACGCAGGGTTCACTACTGGGAACGTAGTGTTCGAATCTTTATTGGGAGACAGATCGTAGCTCAACGAGAGGCACAGGGACTCCAGCGACTAGATGCGGGGACAGCCGCTCCTGGGTGGCCACCCCACAGGCTACGTTCTCATGGTCTCTTGTTCACCCTGCACAGGCATCTCTGGGAAGAGCCAGATCCTTTTCGCTCTGGTCTTCACCACCAGGTACCTGGACCTCTTCTCCAATTTCATCTCCATCTACAACACGGTGATGAAGGTGAGAACGTGGGGGCTGCTGGTGTGCTGGGAAATTCAGGCCAGGGCTGGCACTGGCTCAACCTGCCTTGCTACCCAGGGCCTTTCAGGCATGGCCCTCTGCACCGTTTCCTCATGACCTGTGGGGTACTTAGCTCAGGGAGGTGGCTGTGGAAATTCATGGAGGTTTCACACATTTAAATTGTGAAGCAGCTAATCTCAACACCGGGGCAGCAGAGAGGCGTGAGGATTGCTGCAAGTTCAAGGACACCCTGGTTTACCTACTAAGTTCTAGGGCTACACAGTGTCTCAAAGGACCCTCACTACCTCCACCACCACCACCACGTGGTGTGCGTGACAAGTGGCCAACCTCGTGGAGATCAGGGGGAAAGCACCAAGGAAAATGCATAGCCTGGGCAAAGACCTAGAGATAGGAACAAACTAGTCTCTTCAGAGATGTGTGAGGCCAAGGCAGGGGGTAGCCAGTGGAGCTGCTGTGTGGACAGAGGCAAGGCGGGGACGGGATGAGGAGGGCGGGGTGGCTCAGGTCAGCCGCAGGGACCAAAGGCTGCTTCGGTTGGTCTGGAAGTGTATGCCACTCTCTTAGCTCCGCTGCCATGCCTGGTCTCCACTCCAGAGCGTGGTAGGCCCCGCTGGGGTGAAGACTTACCGAACCTCCTGGCTTCGAGGCGGGTACATTGTGGAGGCAAGAACAAATTGCTAGTTGGCAAAGTGGGTTACAGCTTGTCAGGTGCTGCTAAGAGAGCGGGTGACCTCAGCAAAGTCAGGGTGTAACACCCCTATAACATAAACGCCGCGCGTGAGCAGTGCAGGGGTGGCTTGGCAGCCCCACGGATGCCCCCAGCTCCTTTCTCCTCACTCTGACACCCTCGGTGTGGCTGGTACTCATGAGCGTGTAAAATATACAGTTGTTCAGCAGGGTCCCACATGTGCTTGGACTCCTTGCTGTTACCATCTTGAAATTCCTAATTTTGAACAAAGGGTCTCACTTTTTCATTTGGCAGTGGGCCTGGTAAGTTGTGTAGCTCGTCATGAGAAGAATGGCTATCTCCAGGGTCACAGAGTGTTTGCCCTGGCTCCTAAGGCAGAGGGTAGTGGTAGTAGAGTAGGGGACCTGCCTGCCAGCAAGGTATTTTTTTTTTTAAAGATGGGGTGGAATTGGCACATACCTTTAATCCCAGCACTGAGAAGGCAGAGGCAGACAGATCTCTGAGTTCAAGGCTAGCCTGGTCTACACAGAGAAACCCTGTCTCGAAAACAAACAACAGGAAAGATGGGGATCTTACTAAGTGGCCTTGGATGGCCTGAAACTCACAGAAATCCACTTGCCTCTGCCTCCTGAGTACTGCAGTCACAGGAGTATGCCACCATGCTTGGCTTGTTTTAGTGTCTAAAGATATTTCATGAGTGTTTGCCTGTATACAGGTGTGTGTGTGTGTACCACATCTACAGTGCCTACACAGGCAAGAAGAGGGTGCTGGATTCCCTGGAATCTAAAGTTCCTTGTGAGCTGCTATGGGTGCTGGAAACTGAACTCAGGTGTTCTGCCAGAGTAGGAAGCACTCACTACTGAGACTCCTCTCCAGCCTCCTGTCCTTGGTTTGCATACAGGGTCTTACCACATAGTAAAGGCTGCCTTTAAACTTAAAAATCATCCTTTCTCAGCCTCTCACATGCAGGGATTATAGAAAAAGTTTTTGTTGTTTTTTGAGACAGAACCTCTCTCCGTAGCCCTGGCTGTCCTGGAACTCATTATATAGACCAGGCTGGCCTTGAATGCACAGAGATCTGCTCATCTCTGCCTCCTGAGTGCTGGGATTAAAGGTGTTCCACCACCACTCATCTGGAGAAAGCTCTTTTAAAATGTTTTATCCAAAATCTCAAGTGACTGAGATGGAAGATGGTGCGTTCCAGGCTAGCCTGGGATACATATGAAGGCCCTGGTCTAGCAAGAGGGCTCAGTCAATAAAGATGCCTGCTATCAAGCCTGATGACCTGAGTTGGATCTCCAGAACCCACATGGTAGGAGAGAACTCATTACCACAAGTTGTCCCTTGTCATGTGTGTGCACATCATCCCATGTATTTGTGCCTCCCCCACACAAAATTAAATATGTGTATATGTGTGTGTGTATATATATATATATATATATATATA